TGAGTATATTCTCTGTAAAAATTCATTTGTTTCCTATTCATCTGTTATTTGTGAGTACTTTATGGTAGACAAAGTAAAAAACATATACTTTAGAATAAGTCAACCAAAATTCTTAAAAAGTCTGTACTATGAATTGGAAAAATACTATTGGTGATCAATTTCAATGTTTTATTGTCTCAGTTGAACTCACAAATATTTAGTATTATTTGTTCCAAAGAACCATTTCGAAGAAGATGCTCTCTGTTGAATAAATATTCTTACATATTTTATGTCCCCTGATGAGTTTAACTGAGTTCTTATTGCTCAAAAGCTGACCTGGTCTAGATCCCCATAGTTTAACCAAGGAAGGGAGGGACAAAATTTTAGGCTTCCTCCCAGGTTGTTTTCAATTATGTTATTAATCCACCTGTTTGTCTTATTTATATTTTGTTTCCTTAAAGAAACTGTATACATTAAATTTGTATATCTCCAGACTTGTACACTGTATATAATGACATCTGGTTGGCAGTCTGACACATTTCTCAACTTTTAGAAAAGAAGCACATACATGCACACAGACACACACACACACACAGACACACACACACACACACACACACAGCTTTTACAAGTCAGAAAATTATAATTTATAAGCACACAGATCATCTAGAATGACAGAAAAACTATTGCCAAAATCAGTAAGAAGTAACTATAAATTTTAAGTCAAAAAAGTTGCCCTGAAAAATAGTTCATGTCCCATTTAGCCACAAGAAAAAGTAAATGGTTGTCATGAAAGAAACAGGAAGAATACTTATCCTCCATTTTTTAGTATTTGCCCTCAACTAAGAAATTCAGATCTTTACAAAACAGAAACTGCTGAGGTCATAAGATGTCGATAATGTTTATCTGAATCATAATAGTGAATAGGCTAAAATCTGTTTTCCTCAACTATAATATAGACTCAATGTATTTCCAATCAAGCATCCAGTAACATTTCACTGAGCATGTAGCAAAATAATCATAAAAAAAAAAGATTTACAATAGTCAACTGGAAAATATAAGACAAAAACAAATAGAAAGTGTGATAAAGTTTCATTCGTATGATAGCAACATTTATCAAACAGCTACAAAATTGCATGTCATTTGCTCAACAAATCAACGGGAAGAACAAAGAAAGAGAATAAACACAATGCAACATACTTTAAATGATATGAAAATAATATACAATTAAGGAATAACAGAACCTTATTGAAAATAGGTTATTCAAATAATAGTTGTAGAAAAAAAATACAACCTATTTAAAGAGCATATTTGTGTGTGATCTTTCATTATATACAAAAATAAAGTAAATTGGGAATTAAGTACAAAGATACTTTTTTTCAGGTTTTTATTTAAATTCCAACTAGTTAACATACAGTGTAATTCAGTGTTCACCAGGTACCAGACATTGGGTTATACACCTACTTGTATTAAACCAATTAACTTTTGTAAGAACATGGGAAGGTAGATTTTATTTTTTTTTTATTTTTTATTTTTAAATGTTTTATTTATTTCTAGGAGAGGAGAGAGACAGCTTGAGCAGGGGAGGGTCAGAGAGAGAGGGAGTCACAGACTGAAACAGGCTCCAGGCCCTGAGCTGGCAGTCAGCACAGAGCCCGATGCGGGGCTCGAACCCACGAACCGCGAGATCATGACCTAAGCGAAAGTCGGAAGCTTAACCGACTAAGCCACCCAGGCGCCCCATGGGAAGGTAGATTTTATTAATTCTTCCTGTTTTGTGGGTTAACAAGCTAAAGCTTTGAGAAGTTAAACAAGTTTTCCATAAACTGTAAAGTATTAGGAGCTTGAATGTAAACCCAGGTGGCACATTTCCAGAGTGTACAACCTGATGCACTACAGCAGACCAACTATTATTTTATCTGCTTCTAAATTGAATAATTCACATTCTAGGAATATAAGAACATAATCAGAGAGGTGATGAAATATTTATTTCTAATATATATCAAGGATTATTTTCTATGATAAATACTGTAAACTACTGAAAAAAATTTTTTTTTACAAATAGTTTATTGTCAAGTTGGTTTCCATATAACACCCAGTGCTCATCCCCACAAGTGCCCCTCTCCATGCCCATCACCCCTCCCCCCCACATCCATCAGTCCTCAGTTTTTGTCAGCATTCAAGAGTCTCTCATGTTTTGCCTCTCCCCCTTTCCCCTACCATTTCCCCCCTTCTTCTCCCCCATGGTCCTCCATTAAGTTCCTCCTAATCCTCCTTTACGTGCAAACATATGATATTTGTCCTTCTCTCCCTGACTTATTTCGCTCTGTAAACTACTGAAATATTAATAGGAAATGATAACATAAACCATGATATGCAAATAATATTAAGTATTATTCACCTATGCAGCACAGCATCAAGAACTAAGTGGCATTTGCTAAGCACTATCTTAGATGTTAAGGATTAAATGAAACTTAATTTTACACTGACTATTTTGCGTTGTTTTAATTAAACTTAAATTTATGCTGGAGTTTACAGTCTGGTGGTGGGGAGAACAGTAAATAAAAAAATAAATTCACTGAGTAAAATATGATAAGTTTAAGCACACATATAAGAAAGCAAATAAAAGAATAAAAGACTGGCAACTTGCCCATTATAGTGGTGATTCAAATGACAGAGCTTCCTAGGGGAAATAAAGTCTAACATAAAGTCTAATATAAAAATCTAATATATGATCAACAGAAAATGATAAATAATATCAAGCAAATAAGATATACATTTGAGTATGCACTACTATCCTAGTTTATAAATGTATGTGTCTGTGTGTACATATGTTGGCTTATTAAAAAAAGATTCCGTATATAGCATAAAATCCCTCATTAGTAGGATTGTGAGTGATTTTATTTACTTTTTTATCATAAAATTTTAATTATATATAGTACACACGTGTATATAATTACACATCCATATATACATACATGACATTTATAATCAGAATAATCCCCAAATATATTAAACACATTCCTTGAAGTAACAACAAAACACATTCATGTCCTATTAATAGCTGCTATGGGGATGAAGAACACTGATAAGTGTTTTTGGTAATGAGCAGGTAAGCTACATTTTGAGCCAGATATGAAAAACACATTTGGAATAATAAAAGTTTAACATGCATACAGCAGACTGCCTTAAATTTCAGCCATCACAAAACTGGAAGGATGCTTGCACATTTCTATAATTGTCCACCTAAAATTCTTGAAATTCAGAATTTTTATACTCTAAAAAGCCTCTACACCCCTGGAGACATTACCCTGTTTTCAAGCACAGCTATATTTCTGAAGTGAAAGGTGTAGATATTCACTCGATGTAGAATAAATAATGACCATAAGTACATTCATATCAGCTTATGTTAACTTTTGCTGCCAGTAGGTTTTGGCTCCAAACTTAGGAAAAAAAATTTTAAAGTGTTTTTCCAATGTTTTAAATTCAAGAATTGTAAATGGGGTTGGGGATCTGCAAACAAAAACTTTTAGAAAGATCTGTAAAGAAGCAATTAAAGAACCATTGGCATTGGTAAGAATGAGGAGGAAAAGTCTGGATAGTTAGAGTAGGGTGTGGTCTAGTGTGTCAACTCTGCCACAGGCTGATTCCACGATCAGAGATTGGTGTCTCTTAGTTCGGGCAAAGCAGAGTCACAAAATCGTCAGTGCTTGAGCTGAACAGAAAGCCAAGGCAAACACACCAGAGTTTGAAAGTGGTATTCCTTGACTGTCAGGATAGGAGGAGAGGAGACAGGTGGCTCAGATCACAATACCTGCTTAGTCTCCTGTGCTCTGACATGAATTATCCTGAGTAGAACAAAGTTTCATAACTCTGTATGTGGAAAAAAAAAACCAAACCAACTTAGGAGAATTCCGCAACATCCCATCAACCCTATAGTGAGCTTACTTCTCTTTTATTATTATTATTATATTATTATTATTATTAATCTTTATTTTTGAGAGAGAGAGAGACAGAGTGCAAGTGGTAGAAGAACAGAGAAAGAGGAAGACACAGAACCCAAAATTGGCTCTAGACAACGAGGCTCAAATTCACCAACTGCAAGCTCATGACCTCACCTGAAGTCAGATGTTTAACTGACTGAGCCACCCGGGCATCCTAGGTTACTTCTTGACCAAACAAGCATTGTTAAGCAAGGTATTCTAAAGGTTTCCTACTAAGCATCAAAGTCACTATGTAAGTCTACAATGACAAGTGCACCAAAAGGTTCAGGAGCCCAACAGCTAGGTAAAAATTTAACCACCCATGAAACAAGGGCAAAAAGAAAAAAAAGGTGCTGTCCTGAAGCCCAACAGACATGGGAGAGGTGTTACAGAGTCAGAATCAGACCTGTATGGAGGCAATGGGAAAAATAATGAAGGGTGATATGTAACTTTAGATATTGGACTCATTGGAAGTATAACATAGCAATTAGTTCGGTGACAATTTCACTTTTGCTGAGGAGAAAAAGGATTTGAGAAAAGAATGAGGTCAGTGAGTGCATCTGCAAGGAGATGGGGCTCCATAGAGGTGACTTTAGAAACTGAAACTAGTGTGTAAGTTTCCTGGAGTTTTACATTACAAATTGCAATGTGTGTGTCTGTGCATACACCTGTAACTCTCATTTACCACCTCATGGGGAAAAAAAATCTCTGATGACCCCTGGGAAATCTGACCACAGAAATAAATGATTTTTTATAATCTGAACAGACATAAAATTACAGTCATTTATTTTTGGTCTAAGAATTACTGTTTTAAGCAGATAATTAAATTGTTCAACCAGAATAAAATGATCTTATTGTGCTTTTAATGTGCACAGGGGTTCCATATAATTGTTTTAAATGTCTGAGGGACATATACACAATTAATTGGTTTTGAATCATAGTGGGGTTTTTTTTTTCTTTTTTAACTTTTCAATAAGCTTAGGGGAAAAGTATTCCTCTCTTTTTGCTCCTATGATTTAAGTGAAACTGCCTCAGTAACTAAAATGCCTGAGGATGGCACAGACCCAGATCCCTTTCCTGTTTAAATATAACTTTTCTCCCCTTCAACCCCCAGCGTTTTCTATAAATCCTCACACAGGAGCCCCGAGAGCTCTTAAGGTGGAGCAGCTGGAGCATAGCCTGGCGGATGGTCTTGGTCTTCAAGCTGTAAATGATAGGGTTCAGTACAGGTGGTAAGAGCAAATAAACATTGGCCAGAATGCTACAGACCACTCTCGGGGTAGAGCTGAGAAGTCGGTGTGTAAAGGACAGGCTGATCATTGGCACATAGAAAACAGTGACAGCACAGATGTGGCAGACACAAGTGCTGAGAGCTTTTTGTTGTTTCTTAGGGGCCACAATACTCAAGACAGTTCGGAGAATCAGAATGTAGGAGAAAAGAATGAACAGTAAGTCAGTGCCAGTCAGGTAGAGCTGAAGAAACATGCCCAAAAAATTGCTGATCCAGGAGTTGGAATATGTGTATCTAATCATATCTGGATGGTAGCAAAATGGGTGGGAAAGCTCTTGGCCTCCATGGAAAGATACTTTCGTCAAGGCTAGAAACATGGGAAAGATTAAAATTACTTGCCGTATACAGATGATCAGTCCAATCACCAAGATTATCATGTCTGTGAAGACAGTGGCATACTTCAGTGGGTTACAGATAACCATGAAGCGGTCAAAGGCCATGGCTACCAGCACTGAAGACTCCAGGAAGGAGAAGCCATGTACAAAGAACATTTGAATGAGGCAAGCTTTCAAGCTAATCTCCCGGGCATGAAACCAGAGAACCCCAAGCACTGTGGGAAGGGTTGAGATGGTCAGACACAGATCAACAGCTGACAGCATGGAGAGGAAATAGTACATGGGCTTGTGAAGACTCCTCTCAACAATGATGACAAACAGAATCATGCTGTTTCCCAAGAGGGCAATGGCACAGAGACAGCAGACAGGAATAGAGATCCAGATGTGTGCAAGTTCCAGCCCAGGAAATGCAGTGAGTAGGAAGTTTGGGGAAGATGATGTAGTGTTATTGAAAATCACCATGGTGGATTGGGAACACACCCTGAAAAGAGAGACGACAATGATAGTGTTTGTCATATTGCTCCTTTTTTCAAGTTCTCTTTGATAAACTCTTCCCAAATTACATAGTTGTTTTTCTGTATTCAAAGCCCTCCCTCATCTAAATACGGCATCTATCACAAAAGTCTATAGTATAGTAACTTTTTCTTGTCAGAACCTGGCCCCAGTTTTCTTCCTCTATCTTCTCCCAGTTATAACCATCAGTCTCTCTAGGCTCAGCCCCACCCTACTGCTCAGACTAATCCTGAGGCTGGAAGTAGGAAATGCATATAGGCTTATGTCATACACATGCACACACACCAACACAGTTACAACTGATGGATCTATGCATTAAGTCTCCAAGCTGTATAGTTGCTCAAGAAATAGTGGACAAACACACAAGAGCCGCTGGGCATCTGTGATAGCATACTCCATGATGTCCTTGCTGGAAGCTGGTCTGGGATATTGTTTCCAAAGGTATCCTTGTACCTCTATCAGCCATCCTCTTCTAGTAGACTATTAGAAGCCTCCTTTTGGTATCAGGATTTCTTTATTCCTTTTCCTATAGTGTGGAATGATTTCTATATTTGTCCTTTCCCTACTCCAGATTTATATGGAACTTGGATGTATCTTAGGTTCTAATTCTTTGTCTCTACATACTTTTCCAGGTCTACTGAAATAAGCAGGTTTTATTCTCCTTTTTACCATCTTACACCTTGGGATATTTGTTTCTATTCCTTCCCATGGATAGTTAGCATGTGACTTTGAACCAACTCACTGTGAGTAGACTGCTCTAATGAATCCTGTGGAAAATTTCAAACAGTATTCTGAAATACATGGTTTCAGTTATCCTAATCTAAGCATAGCAGGTAAGCTTAGACAAAACACCCATATGAAAGTCATGGGAAAGGACACCTGGGTGCTTCAGTCAGGTAAGCTTCTAACTCTTGATTTTGGCTTAGGTCACGATCTCACAGTTTGTGAGATGGAGCCCCGTATTGGCTGTGTGTTGACAATTTGGAACCTGCTTAAAATTATCTCTCTCCCTTTCTCTGTTCCTTCCCCATTCTCTCTCTCTCTCTCTCTCTCTCTCTCTCTCTCTCTCTCAAAATAAATAAATAAACTAAAAAAAAAATGTTATGGGAAGCATTCAGTAACATGTGATGAATACCTTTGTAAAAAGCATGGATGGGATAGAAGTAGAGACTAATAACTAAAATGGAATCACTCTGAGACATGGAAAACTGAGGTGACATCAGAAATTGGAATATACAGTAGTTCACTGAGTGAGAAAGTGCACAGAATTGCAGCCATATAGAAAACAGTGATGGTGTCATAAAGGAAGCAGAATTTGGAATCTGTATTTAAGAGAACTGTAGCAATTCTATTTAGGATGTGTTCATTGAGTGCTGGTATCATCATTGCTGATTTTAAATTTTGTACTAGGGAATTTAGTCATCAACAAAGAGACAACAGCATTGCCTGGGTGTCTCAGTCAGTTAAGCACTTAACTTTGACTCAGGTCATTTTCTCACAGTTCATGAGTTTGAGCCCTGCACTGGGCTCTGCACTGACCATGTGGAACCTGCTTGGGGTTCTTTCTCTCCCTCCTCTCTCTCTGCTCTTCACCCACTTGCATTCTCTCTCTCAAAATAAATAAATGAAATTTAAAAAAAAAAAGATGGTAAATTTTGAAAAAAAAAAAAAAAAAAAACCAAAGAGCCAACATAGAATGATATACTCAGTTCAGGTGCTGTATGCATATAGCCAGCTATAAGTATTGTTATTTTTCAGTAATTTGGGTTTTCTGTCTTGCATCTGAGTGGATGCAAGGAATTTGCTAGTATCAGGCCCTGTGAGTTGCTACATAAACATAAATATAGGGGGTTGTTGCTTATTTTCTCCCCCTCCTCCAGTCTAATGAAGATGTTGATAGAAATAATCACTGGTTACTTCAAAGAGAAAAAAAAGAATTGCTTTTTCTGCTATAATATTTAATATTATTATATTATACATGTTAGAGAAAAACACTAAGAATCAGGAAGACTAGTGCCAAATAAGATATGGATTACAAACATGCTACTTCATGTCAACCACTTAGACTCTAAATGACTCTTTAATGTCAGTTACTGCTGATGGCCAAGGAAATAGAAATGAATAAAGAATATTTTTTGCATTCAAAACTCTCTCATCTCAGTGGAATGAATAGTGTGAGAAGCCAAGGCAAAACACTATTGAAGGGCAATTACAACATGGGGACACAAGAGAAGAGTAGCCAGATAGGAAAGCAAAAGGCTCTGGAGATTTCTGTTTCAGTCTTCTCAACCTGGTGAACATAGACATTAAGAGTGAATCTCTAGCCAACAATCACTGTGTCATCACTGGTGAACTCATATGAGAGAACTTCAAGGTTGAGAGGTAGTATCATAGTATGACCCATGGCAAGAGTGGTTAAGGATCTGGACTCAAATCCCATGCTCCTTTCAATCTGCATGTCATCTCAGAAAACTTATAAGAAGGCCTTCTGTACTTAAGTTGGTTGATTTGAAATATTTAAGAATTGCTAATAATGTATTTGCAAGCATTAATGTGAAGTAAATTGAATTTAATGTTAAATGCTTTCAATCATTTACTTAAAAAGCCACTGTTAAACATTAAAAAGAAGAGTGAATCTGCTCTACAATAACCACCCAAGAATCTCTCTGCAACACCAAATCACTCATTCTATTGACTCTTCCTCAATAGTACTTTACATGTGTCTAAAATTCTATTGCTTAATCACATTTATTTATTCCTCTAGAATGCTGGCTTTCTGGGAATGTAAAATATATGTATCCATCTTCATATTTTCTCTAGAGAAAAGTTTGGTGATTGGTACATGGTAAAAATTCAAATAATTAAATTTAATTAGATGTATTAATGGGTGGATAAATAAATTACAGTCGATAGAGATATGGATAAATACTAGATGATAGGAATATAAATTGAGCCTGGAGGCTTCTAGGGAAGGATGAGCCACAGGGAAATCATTTCCCTAGACATCAAGGAAAATAGTCTCTTACTGATTGGAAGAAGGAGGGTAAGTTAAGAGAAAAGGAGAATTATGATCTTTTGTATATGTCAACATTTACTAGCCATCTCGTATATAATTTTATATAATCCCAGGAAAAATGGATATAGATGTTTTTCTCTTATTTTAAAGAAAGGAAAGCAAACCAGCAAGATAAAAGAGTATATTAAAGGTAAAATATGTACTGATTCAAAATTCAAAGTCAGATTTCTTAACTCTAAAGTCTATAATTTTTAATTAAACCATTAACCATTTCTAGAAGATAACCTTATGAGAGAAGTTGAACAGTTGGGCAGTGTGAATTCCTTCTTTTAAAATATAAGAATTGTTTATGCTTTGTTGTATATACATATATATGATTTAGAGGAGCGATTGAGTTGAGAAATCACTAAAAGAGAGAAAAACGTCCTCATGGTTTATTTAAAAATATATACTTGTGGCATCTATGTATGTTTAGAAATATGTGTGAATATTTATATATTGACATTGTGTGTGTCTCTGTGTGCTGGTGTATGTAGAGAGGAGTTTTGGAATTGAAGAGTAATTGAGAGATAAGATTACCATAAATCAGATACCAGTTATCTTCTATTCTTTGAATTGTATCTCACAAAGGACAAAAGGATGACACTGGATGATGTGAGGGAGTAGGAGCAGAGGAGACGATGGCTCATTTTGCTGTTGGAGAACTTGTTTCCTGTGGAATGTAGATATGAGGACAGAGAGTAAGGGCCTCCTCCCCAGATCCAGTGAGCTCATACACTCTGGAACTAGTTGTAGAATTAAAGTTCAGTGCCTTGATTAATCAAGGTTTTCTCTACACTGCCCACTAACCTGAATAGGCTAGTTTTCTACTTTCAGTTCTCCATCTAATGGCCAGAAAGAAAGCAATGTCTACCAATTCATATACAAGAGCTTAGATTAACTGAATTGGATAAAATCCACCCAACTCAGTAACTTAGTGATCCAAAGGTCAACATCCTTGTGTCAGTAATTATAAAAACCAATCCATGTATCCATGGCATCAGTAATGGTAAAACCAGTCCATGTCATTACCAATCCCAAACCTTTTGGTCACTTCTCAACACCTAAATCTATTCTCTCTACAATGTGGAAACTTCCCTGACAGCTCCAGGCTATGTTAACCAGAAACTTCCCCTCTGCTGCCACACTTCTGCACCACTTCATGCTTGGACCTTACATTTGATTCTTTTTAAAAAATTTTTTAAAGTTTATTTATTTTGAGAGAGGGGAGAGGGGCTGAGAGAGGGAGAAAGAGAGATTGCCAAGCAGGCTCTGGACTGTCAGTGCAGAGTCCAATGTGGAGCTCAAACCCATGAACAGTAGATCATGACCTGAGCCAAAATCAAGAGTCAGATGCCCAACTCTGTGAGCCACTGAGGTGCCCCTCATTTTATTCTTTTTTTTTTTAATTTTTTCATGTTTTATTTATTTCTAGGAGAGAGAGAGAGAGAGACAGAGAGAGAGACAGCGTGAGCAGGGGAGGGTCAGAGAGAGAGGGAGTCACAGACCCTGAAACAGGCTCCAGGTTGAGAGCTGGCAGTCAGCACAGAGCCCGACATGGGGCTCGAACCCATGAACCGCAAGATCATGACCTAAGCGAAAGTCGGACGCTTAACCGACTAAGCCACCCAGGCGCCCCGCCCCTCATTTTATTCTTAATACAATAATGAGGCATGGCTGGTATTAGATTTACATATATGCAGATATAATCTCCTTTTACTGGAATGTGAGTTCCTTAAAACTTGAGTATTCCTGTTTTTCTTCTCTCAATACTAGCTAGAAAAGGAGGAACAATGGAAAGCTTCAATTAGTAAGCTGAATGGTCCTGGCCACAGGCAGAGTTCTGAGTTCTATCTCCTTTTCTGTTTATCCTTCTCTTTCTTCAAGTCCTCTGTCTCCCTATCTCAGTTTT